AACAGAGATTGAAAACTGCGCAGAGCAGACAGAAGAGTTATGCTGATGTCAGAAGACGAGGCGCTCCTCCAAACGTCATCGCTTTACTCCCTGAAAACACAAACGTGAGCTAGCCGGCGGGTGTGTGCCGGATACCTCTCCGATGCCTAAGTCAGCAAAATAGACAAATAGACAAAAACTCTGTGTATTCGAGAATTAAAGTTGTGTTACCTCTCCATAGGTGATGTTATGAGCTTTTATAGGTTCCGTGTGGCATAATCCTAGTAGGACTCTTATTTCTCCATGCAGAGTCCTACTAGGAATCACACTCCTGAAAGATAGTGCTATTTGGAGCCTTTGCCCCTCACTGCTTAAACCAAGTGAGATGGTTTTACCCCGGCTGGACGACAGTATGACCGAGCTAACATACCTCAGATCTTCCCTTCAGTGCCTGTACCCTGGTTATGCATACTCCAACCGGGCTATTAACTTAAAACCGAGCTAACCAAGCTTGGTGCTCCAATGCAAAACGCCAAGCTAGCTTGGCTCTCGTTTAGTTGTACCTTGGTAGCCTGTCGAAACCAGGCTAATCTACGGCCTGCTACGACCGTGCTAACCACAGCGAAGTCCACCGTGTGAAGCCATCATACCTTGGCTTCAAACACTATGACCGAACTAACTCCACTCCGACCGTGGTAACCGTTATTCCACTTGGACCGCGCTACTACTACAATCCACTTGCCAAGCCCTTTTCTACCGTGGCCCATCGAACGGTCCATTACTCAACTCGGCCCAATTTACTTATAAATTACTCTCTCAATTGCCCCTTAATTCTATCTGCACAGCATGATTGAGATTAACTATTATCAGCCAAGCTAAAAACTTTAGTCTTTCAACCGAGATAAAATGCTGTCGGGCAACCGATTGGTTCGGTCAAAAAACGTCTCTTCAGTCACGCTGTCATCTAAATCGCTTATTCTTCCAAAGACACGTGTCGAGCCCCCACTGGCTGAATACAACTGTCATAGCCGTCTTCGTACTTCGCGTATTTTGAACAGTCCCGCCTTTTTTCCTTCCCTTTAAACAAAACAAACCCTAAAGCTTCGAATCCATAATTTCACTATTCACCTTCTCTCTCTCTTGCTTGAGTCTCCATTTCTGCAACCACTATTTTTTGCAAAGCTCGTGTTCGTTGTTGCCACTGCTTCCATCTCCAGCTCCTTCATCTTCATACTTGTAAGTAACTTAATCCTCTTTCCTTTTTGTTGATTTCGTATTTATTTTGTACAACAAGGTATGTGTATTTGTATGTTTTGGCAAAAACACATATTCCTATTTTTGCTTTAGCCTTGTGTTTCCTGGAAAAAACCTTGTAACATGACCACCGTATACATGAACAATTCGAACAATTTTCCCTTTGATCCAAAATTTCACTCCAACCGAACTAGGATACTGTTTGTATTTAGGCGTAAGCTTAGCCAAACTTAATCAACCGAACTAAAACCTGTGGTTACAATAGGTCTAAGTACCTTTTGCCACACTTTAGCCGAGCTAGCGATCTACCTTAGGTTTGCGTAATACCACGCTAGAAAGCCACAACCACCGACCGAGCTAAAATTTGGGGCTAAACCAGCTTCCTTAGTCAAAACCAAACTAGGATGCTACCCAAAAGTTCCCACCGGGCTACGCACTTCACATTTACTTAACCTAGCTAAGGTCCTTTGTTTGAACCGAGCTAAGAATGAATAGTAACCTACGCAGTCGAGCTAAGACATCAATTATCTTTCCTTTTATGCTTTTAGCACGGTCCATCGATCTGTGCTTAACACTTTTCCTTTTCACTTTGCAGACTTAGGTTGGCTAGGCACTCCCTTGAACGCTTCAGCCGAGATACTCCATATCATCTCAACACCGAGATAACACTTGAGGATATTTTATACATAATTTAAGCCCATATGGGAAAGTATAGGTTCTTAGTAAACTCACCAGGTTCTATGGCCGAGTTCCGAACTAGATACTACTCCTTGGGGAAAACAGGGCATCGTTCGCTCCACCCTTCTTTCTATTGTAGAAACCGGACTTAGATTCCCTGTACAGCCTCTTCTCTGTGAATTCCTTAGGCAAACCAACCTCTGCCCTACCTAGCTTTCCATAAATTCATACCGCATAATAAATGGCATCGCCGAGCTAAACCGCCGGGCTGGCCTTAATCTTGGTCTAGTCAAGCTCTTCCACCAATATTCCATAAGATTAGCTGAAGATG